TCGTCGTACGCATTACGACGCAACCAAGGTGTTAGAGTGAGGAAGGTCATTCCCTTTTGAAGTTGAAAGGAAATGCCAGCCACGCCGTGCTGTTGGGCGACGTCGGCCCTCCAAGACGAGAGCCAATTAGTTGACAACGGGGGAAGCGATGAGGTCTAGATCAAGGCAAACTGCCGCGCCACGAAGTTCGGCAGATAAACCTCGGCCCCAGCCTTGGACAGGCCGCAGTGAAGGTCGCGCGCGACCAGGAAGGAGCCCCAGATTTCCTTCAAATCGTTCTCCGTTTCACCATCAAGGATCACGGAGAGGTCGTGCGCCAAGAACAACGGGTACGGCTGAGCAAGGCACACCCGGAACTACGTCCCAGTTCACTCGACCAAGCCATAGAAAAATTTATAACAGGAAGTCGAGATATTATGCTTCCTGGGGGCCTGGGCAAACGTATTGGCCAACGACTCGGAGTCGGTGATATTGGCCGCTCCCCTCAGCTCTGGGAAATAAGCCTGCAGCCAGAACTGGAAGGCCCATAGTGGATCACCGTGCTTCAGCTTCATCCCATCCGAGACAACGTCGTGAAGCGTGCGGTAGATATGACCGAGGAGGAACGGGCCGAGTGCCAGCCTTCCGCCCTGCGCAAGATAGTCGGCCAGGTGGGCGAACTCCAGGGTGACTTTGTTCGCCTGGGTGCAGAACACGAACTTGCATAACCAATACAGCAAGAACGCGGCATGCTCGACCTCGCCCAAGGGAGCGATGGAATTGTCATAGGTGCTGTCCTCCACGCCGAAGTTGTTGTAGAAGCTAGAATAGTTTAGCATGTTCTTCGCCTTGCTCCCAGCAAGCTTGGCGACCGTAGGCCATGCGGCCTTAAAACTCCCTTCGGCCTCAGGGGCCACCAGAGCGGCATTTACTTCCACACCGAGGGGAGAAAGGCCGAATAAGGCGGCCATGTCTAGAACGGTCGGCGTCATCATACCAAACCTAAGGTTCATAGTATTTGTGGCCGACGACCAGAAGCATATGGCCGTGGCCAAGAGTGACCGGTCCCGGCCGGCCGAACAGCTTGATCAAGTGGTAGATGCCCTGATCCCTCCATTGCTGGCCGAAGAAGTGCTCCATCCTCGGCAACCATTTTTCCCAGTCCGAGGTCGAGGTTGGCCATTGGGGCTGCGGTCTGGCGACGTTCCAATCTTGGAAATCCCCCCATCAAAGGCCGAGAGGTCCACCAAATTGTTCTTCAAGTGAGCCACCAGCCTCTCTGGCATCCCGCCATCTACAGAGGGGCCGAGGACGCAGGAGTCGGTGGCGGTGCCATCGTCATCAGTCCAAGGTGTGACAATGTTGGGTAAGACCGAGCCCTGGATTTCTCGGCAAATGTCTTTGAATTCAGTCTGAAAGACTTGGGACCGAGCTTCAACAGATGTAGGGGTGTTAGAGGCCATTGCAACAGATTAAAGTAAGGGTATGTTTGGAAAAAGTCGAAGGAAGGGTGATGAACACGAAGAACACCAGGGGGCCGAGTGCTCAGAAAAGGGGCAAAGAGTTCGAGAGTTTTCAGAGAAATACAGGGAAAGCAATTGAAGTCGGTGGTCACTAACAAAGGGGGATAACTGTGCAGAAAGGGGTTGAGGTGCTGAAATATGGAGTTCGAAAGGGTTGAAGAGTTGAGAGAAAGGTTTGGCAGAATTTGGGCGTCTGAAGGTTCTGAAAGCGTAAGGAATGGATGAAGAAGGACAGGCCATTATATTGGCACTAGAATTCAAAACGAAAGGGTGTGGCTCTCTCGAGAGACGTAACGGCCTGACAAGCGTGCTCAAACGGCGTGATGACGTGTTGAAAGCCCAGAGGCCGTCGCTTCATTTGACGGGACGAAACGACGGCTCACGCAAGTCTGGGCAACGATGGCCTGCGAGACGTGCTTGCGCATTTAATGCGCCGATTGACCTACGCATTTAAAGCACCAACTGTCAATCACTTCAAGGGGAATGCAAAGGGTCCATCCCTTGGAATCCTTTCGACCTCTGCCCAGGCCGCGACCGAAGAATCCAGGGATGTGGGGGCAATGTTTGTGCCTAATAAATCACAGTCATGAACTGATTGAAGAGACTTCCCTTCGGCCCTGGCGCCTACCGTTTCGTCAAGCATTTCGCCCTCCTAAGAGCAAAAGAAACTCTGACTTCGCAGCAAAACCCACTAGTCACAAGAAGCATTCAATGCACGAAGGAAGTGACTAAGTTAGGATTTGGTGATGAGAATCAGGGTGGTTAGGCGCAGACATTCTCACAAGTAATCTTATGACTTAGGGTCAGATCATCAACCACCAGTCCAGGGCATTAAATGCGTTCCCACGGCCAAGGGGGCAGAATCCACAATCAAGGCAGTGGCCGAGATTTTTCGAGATTTATGGGGGTCACACCACCATGCTTCTCAACCCCAGACCACCATACTTCACGATCCCAAATGCCGATTTGACTACCCACTTGCCCCGGTCAGGCTCCACCACGCAGGTCTTGTCAGCCTCGAGTGTCCCTCCAGGACTCCTATAAATACTAAGCTCAGGACTACGTTCAAAGGGTTCAAAAACCAAAACCAAAAGCCTCCTGCTGAGCAAATTATATTTCCCTGTAATGCACTTTCAATACATTTATTTGCTTTCTTAGGAGTAGTGATAGACTGTAAGGAAAATCCATCCATCAATATATCATATGACCCTTGATTTTCAAGGTGCGGGAGCACCATCTCTGTTATCGCCTCACTCACCCCATATATCATACGACCGTCGCTCTCTGAGCAACGCGCCGAAGCACCGCCTAAAACCCGCCACCAACACCACCACTAAACGGCCTTGTAGCTCAGGCCGTGAACCTGATGGCCGAGATTTGTTCCTCACTCAGCCATAATCGTTTGATTAGGAGTCGAACGCAAAACAGGCTCAACATTTAAACCATCTTCTACCCGAACCTCATCATCATCTCGACGCACGGTAGATCGTGCTGGCACGCCCGCGCACAACCGCATCGCATCCAAAAGAAGGACGTCACGTGTTGATGCGCATCCCCTCGGCCCGAAGCACCAGGCCGCGAGATTTGCGACGGACAAACACTTTTCCTTCCTTTTCTAAGTCAAATTGATATTGTTAATTACATGTTGTGATTTCTTTTTAATAGGATTTTGTCTCATGGAATGGCCTCTTTATTTTAGACCAACGTAGGAAACTAGCATTTGTGAAAATTTTAATTGGAAAATTTGCATAAATATTACCTAAACGTTTAGACATGTACGCCAATTATAATGGTTGAACAACTAATGAATGGCATGTATCCAAAAGATTGCATTACTTGGTACTTGGTTCTCTATCCTTGTATAAAAACAGGTGGCACTGAATTTCTATCTCCCATGATGCAACTAAGCCCCTATATAAATGATGAGCATCCAAAAGTTTGCATTGATCTGTTTTGTCTAAAAAAGCCACTAGTATTAATCGTTAATTAAATGTAAATATTCAATTGATAAACATGATTGTAACTAAGCAAATTGGTAATTAAGTAGTGTACAATATTTTCTTGATAAGTAAAAAAAAAAAAAAAAAGTAGTACAATCCTCTCCAAACACTAATACATACAAAGACCTAACAAGACCTACATCCAGTGGCGGATCCAGGAATTTTCATTCCAGGGGTCAACGTATAAAAGGTAAAAAAAAAATTCTACACAAAATAAACTCATCGAAATGAAGCGATAATATTCTAATTCATAGTTAATAGATAAAACCATACAAAACACTCATGTTCATTAGAACTGCATCAACTTCAAAAAATAGATACACATTGCAATAAACCAGAAATATCTCTAGTAAACCACAAAAAAAAACAACAACAACTTCTTCATCTCAAATCCTCATCCTTCTCTTCTTGATACATGAGTTTGTAAGACCTTCACCAGCTCAACATAGTCTCGATTTCTCCTCTCTAGTGCTTGTATATGTCGGTTCGATTGCTTGAGTTTCCCCTGCAAGTCAATGATCCCTGCCTTCAAGGTTGTGACTAAAGCAGTCAACGAGACACACTCTTGGTTCCTCGCTAGCAGATGCAATCCCACATTTGCTGTCGAAGCAACACATTGAGCATTAAAATAATTTGTCTCGTCCACTACAGTTTTGTCAGTATTGAAGGACAAAGATAATTTTGGCTAAGTATGAAAAATGCTTTTTCAGAATTATCATTTTCTGAAGATAATTTTTGGCAGCTTTCATTTCCTACATATCAAATAAGAAAACCTAATTTTATGAGATTTTTATATGAAGTATATATTGACTTAATAAGCCTTCATATTTATTTCAAATCGCATTGAACTAAAACCGATTTTTCATATTTCGATTTGGTGGGAATTTGATTTTCTAGTATTTTTATTTGAATCCAAATGGGGGGTACTTCCTTATTTACATTGTAAACTTAAGTAAATTGAGTAATATAAAAATAAATGAAAGTAAAAAGACAAAGACATTTACTTAAATGTTGAAAATGGAAATAAGGCAATCTGTACAATGTCGTTTTGGCTAGGTTTTAAAATAAAATATAATAAAAAAACAAGCCTTTAGTAGAACGACGTCGTGTTGACGTCCAGCGAACAAAACAAGCCTGTCATATGGTTGCTACAGCCACTATCAACATACCATTCTCCATTGGTTTTGATCTCAGTGGTTGTGCAATTTGCATAAAACAAGTTCCCTGTCACCTCCATTTGATTTACACAATTAGCTTTCTGCACATTCTTGTTCACAGTACAGTCTCTAGCAAGATGTCCAAATCTGTCACAGTTATAGCATTTTGGTTTTCCCTTGTACCTGCACTCACCAAAATGATGCTTTGAACACACCTTGCATTGAGGCTTTGTATTTTCCTAGTTTGAGAACTGTGTTGAGGTGTTGTTCTGTGCAAAATAATTATTCTGCTGTGACTTGTCTTTTGACTCCCATGACTTCCCTTTAGAATTCTAGTTTCTCTATGACTTAGATGAACCAGACTGAGAAGCATTTTTATTCTGTCTTTTGGAATTCACAGTGAATGAGGCAAATGCCTTCACAACTGTATCAACATTATGCATTTTAAGCCTTTGCTCTTGACTCTTCAAAATGGCAATCACTTCCTGCAACTCCACAGTTTCTAGTGTCTTTGTGTTTTCAATCACAAGGCATATAGGATCATACTTCTTACTAAGACTAATTAAAACCTTTTGAACCTGCCTCTCATTTGACAGAACTTCACCAAATGTTTTCATTTGGTTAATCAATTCATTCAATCTAGTAAGATAGTCAGATAAGGATTCATTATCACACATCCTAGTATACTCAAATTCACGTCTGAGGTTTTGACGTTTTACCGATCTAACATGCTCTCCACCATGATATTCAGCATATAGCAATTCCCAAGCCATCTTCGCAGAATCTGCATGTGCAATCCGTGGAAAAATTTGATCAGAAACGGCATTTTGGGTGATACCCAATGCTTTCGCATCCTTCATGAGAATCGCAGCTATTTTCTCATCAACTTCTTCTTCTGAGATGTCCTCAGATACCTTCTTCTTCTTTGAATCCGGGATTGAAAAACCCTTCTCTACCAAACTCCATAAACCATACGATTTGAATATGGTCACCATCTTAATCCTCCAAAACTCATAGTTCTCACCAGAGAAAATTGGGATTCTAGCCTCTGAGCCTCCAGATCCAGCCATTTTGAATTTCAGATGCACCTGGAAACAAGTTGTTTTCATATCGACAATAGATCGAGCTCAATCAGCTTCGTGAGCTATGAATGAGCTTCACCTTGATCGATTTTCTTCACAGAATGAACGCCCAGCTTCAGATAATCGAACCTGGCTCTGAGGCCATGTTAGTGTTTTGTGAATCTGTATGTGTATTGGTAGGGAACAAAATAAGGAGAGAAGAAAAAACTGAAATCCAAATCTCCTCTGCTATACGTGTAGCAGAGAGAACATTCTCATTTCTCTTCAATAAGAAATCTGTACTGTACTAACACAGACACACACACAATGATTGAAATATCGGCCGATACACCGATATATCTGCCGATATATCGGTATTTTCAACTGTCGACGCCGATACTGGGGGGGTAAGGCCATATCTTCCCTCGTATCGACGATATATCCCCGATAAGTGCAATATTCCTAATATTTTGCCGATATCCCCGATATTTCCTGATACCCATAACATAACCCAAAAAAAATTCAGAAGTTTTGAAGGCAATTAAAGCAAATTGAAACCCAAAAATAACTAATCCTTGCTCAAAACCCTATATCCACTACCCACATATCTCCAATCCATCTGAAGAGGACATAGCATTCAGTTTTGGATCTATGAGCATAGGAACTAGACCTAGTACTAACTCAAATGAATCTTATGATGTCTATGTCTATGTTTGTGTCATGTCTAATTATAGTGGAACTAGTTATGGAGATCAAGATGATAAAAAAAATTATGGACCTACTAGTTGGTTAATCCTAACTATCCCATATATGGGAGGACAATAGGGAGCTCAAGAGAGACCTATGTGCACTATGTTCAAACATGGCTTACAAACTACTCGGGTTACATGACTTGGTATGACTATTGTATGAATCTAGATGGTT